TGCCTTGCTGCCCCAGCATTGCTCTAGCTCCTGAGAGCCTCCTGCTTCCTCAGCTGCCAGCCCCTTGCTGCTTTCCCCCCAGGTGAGAGACTACTCCCCTTTATATAGCCCCCAGTTGGGCCCTCATTAGCTAGAACAGCCTCAGCTGGGTCTTTACTTCCACCCCCTGCTGCAGGCCTGGATTTTGCCCTTACAGGGCCAGTGCAGAGCGCGTGCCCTGTCACAGGCACATTAATACATTAATAATAATGGCAGCATGTCCTTAGACAGGATGAAAGAACCAGGAAAACCAGGGATAAAATCCTGGCTGCCCTGAAGCTAATGACAAAACTCCCATTAACTTCAGTAGAGCCAAGTATTTATTCAGAGAGTTCAGACAGATGCAGTGCGGCACGTATGCTGGTGGTTATAATACAAAAACATAAATAGAAGAGAATGGACAGGATCTCAGTTCTGAAACTACCTGACCAGAGGGGTGGGGTGATGTGAATTAAACAGTAGAACACCTCACGGAGCCCTAGTCTACACTAGGGACTGATTGCAAAATAACTCCCCTTATTTTGAAATAACAAGTGGAGTGTCCACACTACCAAGCCCTTTATTTCAAAATAAGGAGCTGGTTCTACCAAACTAATAACTCCTGCTTTCCACAAGGAATAATACTTCTTTCAAAATAGTTATTTCGAAATAGCGGTAGTGTGGACACTTCACTACTGCTATTTTGAAATAACTATTCCCCAGTCATGCAAAGTAATTACTCCCCAAGTCCTCTTGGGGTCTAAGTCGAGGTAGCACATCCACATTAAGGACACGTCTACACAGCAGTGTTATTTCAGAATAACTAACGATATTCCAAAATAACACAGTCCATGTCTCCACTACAAGCAGTTATTTCAACATAATGTCAAAATAATGTCGAGCTGGAGGACTACTTACTCCGACTTCTGTAACCCTTATTTTACAAGGAGTAAGGGAAGTTGGAGGAAGAGTGCTCTTCCTCAGATTTCGTGTTGTGTAGACAGCGCCAAATGCCGAAATAAGCTATTTCGACTTACGTTATGCAATTGACGTAGCTCACATTGCATAGCTTATTTCGTCTTTAGCCCTGCTGTGTAGATGTGCTCTAAGGGACCCTGCCTCGGACTAGTTTTGAGGCTTCCCTGTAGTGTAGACATGCTATTTCGAAATCGTTATTTCAGGAGTTATTATTTTGAAATAAGTTATTTCAAAATAATTTCCTAGTGTAGACATGCCTGAGAGTGTATATGGGCCCAGAATTACTGAAGCTTATTTCATAACAGCCACATCTCTGCTGCTGATAGCATGTATGTGTGTTTTGCCTATGAATAGTGCCAGTTGGGTTGCATTGGTATAGCTGACTCCAGATGCTTAATTTAAGATCTCAGAAAGATTGACCAGATGGCTCGTTTTCATTTGTATGCCATGTGGTTTTGTGAACCTAGCAGAAAAATAGCTTAGCTTTTTGACATTTTATTTGTCCTTAGAGCCTCGCACTTCCTGTGACTCTGGCATTTGCATGAGCCATGTAGCTTTAGGCATATAAACCTCCCTGGCTTTATCTCCAGCGTGAGCAAAATGCTTGAAGCTATGGGCCACGTCCTTCCCCAGGTCTCCTGTGCAGTTAATTTCCTTGCCAAGTGACATCCTACTTACACAGGCACCAAAAGAATCAGGAGAAAACAGTCGTTTGGGGCTTGCGGAAGGAAAGCACGGGTTTTGATTTCAGCTGGCCTGGAAAATGTACCATCTATAGTCATGAAATGAGAGGTTGTTTGTAGATGAGGTTTACCTACAATTAAAAATACCCCTGCTTACCCTGTGCATTTCAGTTCAGGCATAGCACAGAGGATAAATTTAGCAGATTCCTGGGCCTGAGGACGTATGCTTAAGAGAAAATAATAAAGATGGCCAATGGGGAGCGTCTGCTAGCTAGTTAAAAGCACTGTGGATTGTACCAAAAGCAACAATTGCTATTACTAGTCATAATGCTGTAGGCAAGTGTGGATGGAACAGACCCCTCTACTAATAGGGATGTGCAGGAGGGGATACAGGGGGTGGCAGAGGGGAACACACGGGACAGAAGGGGGGAAATGTGCAGGGGCAGCAGCCTCTGGAGACTCCTACCCCCCCAGGAGGTGTTGCTAAAGGGAGGTGTTCCCAGATAAGTGTGGCACCCCCAATCACCCCGCTGTCCCTCTTGTGCTCCTCACTCCTTCTAGAGCCTTCACCCCTCATGCCCCTGTCCTCAACCTCCCTCGCCCTCTAGCCCCCAAACTTCCTTGTGGTGCCTGCACCCAGCACCCCCACTCCCTGTCCCAGACCAGAGCCAGCACCCAGATTCCATCTCAGAGCCTGCACTTCTCACCCTGCTCTGCACCCACATTCCTGGCACACTGGACTCCCACCTGCACCCAAAGGCTCCAGAGCTCCACCCCTTGTATTTCCTGTATCCAAACTCCCTCCCAGAGCCTGCCCCCCAATTCCCTGCTTCAGTCCAGAGCCTGCACCCAGCACCCAAACTTCCTCCCAGAGCCCACACCTGTCCCCCACCCAAATTTCTTCTCAGAGCCTTAGGCAGCGGGTGGTGGTGGTGGTGGGAGAGTTTGAGTGGGGGAGGGGTGTGAGTGCTGGGCTTCCTGGGCACCGCCAAAATGGTTGCAAAACTGCCACCCCTGGCACAACCAGATGTGTTCTAAACCTATATCTGCTGATCTGAGTGGTCAGAGTGATACATGATATCCTAGAATGATGGGCATGGTTTGGACCATAGCTAAATAACGAATACCCCTAGACAAGAATATAGGGCTAAGTCCTCAGGTCCCACAGAAACTTGTGAGGGTTTTGCATGAGTGAGGACCTCAAGTTTTGGCTGATATACGTGCATGTTGTTAAATAAAATGCATGTAATACGTGGCACCAGGGTATACTCTGGATTTTCCAGTGGTTCAAATGCAAATAGACTTGCTCAAGACCACACTACAAACAGAATTAGTGCTGGAGGAAAGCTCTTCACTCAGCATATCAGCTGCATGTCAGTTTATGGCGTTGGTTAAATCTTTCTCCCTTAATGGGCTATGAATTTTGAAGCTCTGATGTTTGCTTGGTAGCTTCCCGTGTTTCTCTTGCCTTCATGGAATACTGTGATCTCCCTCTGGTGGCTAATTTAACTCCAGCAGATTCCTCGATGCTGCTAAAGCTGTGTGGTTAGTGAATTAGGCATCTGTTTCATATGTAATGATTTAAATCTGGTTGTGATTATGGTTTTGTTGTAAAATCCTATACACCTAATAGGTGTATTCCTTCTTAAGTGTAAGGCACTATAATGCCATTATCTAATTAAGCTAATAACTCAAACACATTGTAGGCCCATAGTTCAAAGATGGGTGCATAAGTTAGGAATTGTGGGGTGAAATCCTGAGCCCATTAATGTCAGCAGTTTTGTCATTGACTACATGGAGGTCAGAATTTCCATGAAGCCTACATCAGGCTATTAAATAGCCATATTGGCCCTGATCCTGCAATTAACTCGGCACAGATATCTCCTTGTCTTCAACATTGACAAGGATCTTCTTTGCAGGTTCAGGGCCCTAGCGCCCGTATAAATGGGAGAGCTCCAGCTTGGGACAGGGATGTTAAGAGGCGGGTATTAATCAAGTTGCCTTGGTTCCTACTGCATTTTAAACTGCAGAGCCACAGCCAGGTTTGGACCCCGACTGGCATGAGCCGTGACTGAGCCAGGCTGCCTGCGCACCCCACTTTTACTACATTTTAAATGCAGAGCTTGGGGCCAGTTGACCGGTTGTTGAAACACTGGAAAGTTATGTCAAGTTACTTTCAGAGTTTATGTAAGGATGAGTGCCCCCAAAAAACTGTGGAAATGTTTCAGCGATGAGGAAAATGCCAGTGAATTGGCTGAGTTTTACTTTCTCATTCACGCTATGAAATTATTCACAGACTGTACTGAAGCTTTAGAGGCCAAGTCATTCAGTGTCATCCCAGTGTATGAGCTAATGACTGAAATCTATGAGCAACATGGGAGAAGTATTCAAGACACGGTTTTTGGGTTTGCTGTGAATATCAGACTAAAGCAATTAATACAAGTTGTGGCTAAGAAACGTGAGAGTGATTTTCTAAATGTTTATGAAAGAGCCGAAATATGCTTAAGTGTCAGATATGACTTCTCTGAAAACAGATTTCATAGTAAAGTGTCCAAATTAGACCTTGCAAATGCTGTGCCCTTTGAAGAATTTTGTGATACAGGCCAGGCTTGCAAGTCCTAAAGAGATTTACATAGATATGCTGTATGACGAATTTGCCATTGTGGAATGTGTTATATGCTCTCTTGAAATGAAAGACTGCCAGATGAGTGAGAAGAGGTATTAGAAACTTTTCAGCAAACCCAAATACCCTTCAAGACCATGACGATAATTAGCTCCTACATATTCTCATTACCATGCAGTAATGCTCACACAGAATAGGTTTTTTCAAGGATGACCACCGCTTGGAGCAATGTGAGGAACAGACTGGAGGTGAACAGGGTAAAAGCAAAGCTCTAGTCCTGCATTAATTTTTCAGAAGAATGCAAAGACATGTGCTTTCATTTCCTGGGAAACAAAAAATTCTGAATGATGCTAGAAAAAGACATAAATATCAACAATAGTCTCTCTCAGAATTGTGAGTAAGCTTTCAATGTTTTGGTAGTCTTTATAGATGTGGTTATTAGCACTACATTTAGTTTAAAAAATCACTATGGACTAAATGCAACTGTTCTCTATTCTTGAGACACCTTGATGGCCACCTTATCCTGCTGCTGTTTGGACTGTAGCCTTGTGTCATTGTTCTGTTTGGCAATTTGATGGTTGGACCCAGACCTGCTACCCTGCTACCCTCAAGTCCCTAGCTCCTTTGTTGTTGAGGGCTACATGCTTAGTTTGGCATCTCCTAACTGTTTGTATGTGTGGTCCATTGTTCCTCTGCAGGACTGCAGCAGACTGCTCCTCATAGGAAGCTATTGTCTAATCCCTGAGAGGATTTTTTGGTGCAAGCCAGGTAGGAATCCTTTCCGGTCTTTAATTATGGAATCATGAATGTCTCCAAAGTTGTGTGTGGATGGCAGAGTTCTCAGCTCTGTCACATAAGTATCTGTTCCTGCTTACTTTTTTTCATCTGAAACTAAGAAACAAATGATTCTGTGGTCACCTCTGTCTGGAATCACAGTACTCATCCAACTTCTTTATCAGCTATTCCACAGTACTGGTCATTATTCATGACCATGTTGTCCCATTCCTCTAGGACTGGTCCCCATAGCGGATGGCAGTCTACTACAGCTGCCACTTACTAAATTAACTCATATTGTAGAGCTCTGTAGTATGGCCCTAAAGGTCTGAACTAGGGATCAATATGATTCTACATAATGGAATTTTTGTTTTTTTTTAATATTTAGGAAATTGCATTAAAATTACATTAAAAGAATGTTAATGTTGCAAGTCAAGCAGTAAAAAAACTAGTAAATGCCAGAATGAATGTTGCTTGTGTACATTTAATTTGAACCCCCTTGTGCATATGCATTATGATACAGTCTTTAATTACATGATCGCATACTAATTTTTTTCAACAGGACCACTACTGATTTTACAACCTTAACATTCTTTTAATGGTATTTTTATAGTAACAGTTAATGCTAGCAAAAGGAGGGGGATAAAACTTCATGTTTCGGGGCTAAATCCAATCTCTTGCTATTAGGGATTAGAATGAGATCTTTGCTTGGGACAGATTACCCTATAGTGGGTGTTGGCCACTATTGGAGACAGGATACTGGACAGTTGAACCAAGTCTGATTCAGTATGGATGTCCCTATGTTCATTGTCTTTGACAGATTTACACCAGAGATGAAACAAGGTATTTTTTTTTAAATCCTCCTTGGTTCACAGACTTTATATGGCATGTACTGGCTTCTCCTCTGTCTCTGCAGGCCCTGATAATCTCCAATTATATTAAAGGAATATTAAAAAATAATAATATCCAAGAATATTAAAGGAACTGGCCCATAGATTTTTAAAGACTCCATAAGCTTGGGGGCTATATCCTAGGACTGGAGAATTGCTAATATAATGCTTGTTTTTAGGAAGTGTGTTGGGGGGGAGGGGAGGGAGTGATCCAGGAAACTACTGGCCTATTAGTTTGACCTCAATTGTATGTAAGCTCTTTGAACACATTTTGAAAGAGAAAGTTGTTAAGGATATAGACATTAGGATAAAATACAACATGGTTTTATAAAAATTTGACAGTGCCAGACCAGTCTGATTTCTTTCGTTGAGAAGATAACTGATTTTTAGACAAAGGAAATGTACATCTAATCTACATGGATTTCAGTGAGTCATTCGATACAGTTCCACATGAGTAATTGTTAGCTAAATTGGATAAAACAGGGATTAATATGAGAATTTAAAAGTAGATTAGGAACTGGTTAAAGAGGAGAGTACAAGTCATACTGAAAGGCTGGAGAAAGGTTACTAGTAGAATTCCTCAGTGATTGGTCTTGGAACCAGTAGTATTTAATATTTTCATCAATAGGCCTCGCACAAAAGTGGGAATGTGCTAATAAAATTTGCAGATGACACAAATTTGGGAGGAATTTCTAGTATGGAAGAGGACCAGAATATCATATCAGAGGGGTAGCCGTGTTAGTCTGAATCTGCAAAAGCGGCGAGGAGTCCTGTGACACCTTATAGACTAACTGAAGTGTTGGAGCATAAGCTTTCGTGGGCAAAGACCACTTCAGTTAGTCTATAAGGTGCCACAGGTCTCCTCGCCGCTTTTGCAGAATATCGTAGAAGAAGATCTGAATGATCATGAAAACTGGAGTAATAGAAATGAGATGAAATTAATGGTGTAAAGTACAAGGTCATGCACTTCTGGACTAATAACAAGAATTTTTGCTGTTGGGTGGAGATGTATAGCTGGACGCAGCAGGAGAAGGAGAAAGACCTGAAATGTATTGGCCTATCACAGTGTGACTGAGCCACTACTGTGATGAGACATTAAAAAGGCTAATGCAGCCTTAGGCTGCATTACATGAGGCATTGCCATTAGAAATAGGAAGTGTTATTACCATTATATAAAGCACTGGTGAGATCTCATCTGGAATACTGGTGCAGTTTTGGTCTCCAGTGTTTTAAAAGAAATGAATTCAAACTGGAGCAGGTGCAGATGACTGCTAGGATGATCAGACAAATGCAAAACTTACCTACAAGAGGAGACTCAAGATGCTTAGTTTGTTTAGTCCAACCAAACTAAGCTGGGGGAGATCTGATTGCTCGCTATAAATATATCAGAGAAATAAATACCAACAAAGGAGAGGAGTTATTTAAGTTAAACACCAGTGATGATAAACTGGCCATTGACAAGTTTTCGTTGAAATTGAGCAAAGGTTTCTAGCCAGGAGGAATGAAGTTCAGGAACAGCCATCCAAAGGGAATAGTGGGGCCAAAAGCATCCTCCAAGACTGAGGGTACAGCTAGACTGCGAGGTTCTATTGGAAAAAAATACGCAAAACGCACTCCGTATTTTGCATATCTTTTTCTGATACTTTTGTTGGAAGAGGCTTTTCCAAAATCTGGCCCATCTAGACTGGGCCAAATTTTGGAAAAAAATCTCTCTTTTTTGGAAGTGCCCTTTTTCCTCGTGGAACGAGGAACGCAGTTGCTTCCGAAAGAGCGTGTTTGCTCTTCTGCAAAAAAAAGTGGAAGAGCAAATGCGTTCCCTGGATTCGGAGTTTTTTTGAGATACCTCTGGTATCCCAATTCCTTCCAAAAGTGAGGGAAGGGAGCGGGGTGTAGGAAGTGCAGGGCTTCAGTGCCCTGGTGCATAGAGTAGGGGGGCAGACGGGGTGTCCGTGGCCACAGGTGGGCTGAAGACAGCTGTGGCCCACGGAGATGAAGGAGGGCCTCTCATGGTGGCTCATCGCTACTTTAAATCATTATTTCAGGGCTTCAGTAACTCAGCCAGAAATTATGGGTCTATTATAGGAGGGTTGGGGAGGGTCTGTGGCCTGTGATGTGCAGAAGGTAAGACTAGATAACAACAATGGTCCCTTGTAGCCTTAAAGTCTATGACTATGGGTTTGTGATGGCTCTAGTCTGAATCCTCCCATTCCAACCCTGCTCTAGTCTGAATCCTCCCATTCCATCTCTCCTCCCTTCCACTCTGTCCTGTCTCTGGGGAGTCTAATGTTACCTCCATGGCCTCGTCTAGCCCAAAATCACTTTGAAAAAACTCTTTGCTCTTTGTCAGATTAATTCAGTTTCTCCTTTACCCTCTCTCAAGGGATAAAGATTGGGGGCTGCTGGCAATCAGTTTGGAGTGGGTGACGCAGAGCAGCCAGTAAGTGACCAGGTCCTGCATAACAGGTCTTGTGCCCCCTTGTCTAGTCATGATCTTTACATGACTAGAGCAGCAGTACCTACCCGAGTACGGGGGCAGAGGAAGGGGCAGAGGGAAGGGTGTGTCAAAACCCCAAATTTTCATTTTGCGTGGAACTTAAATGTTCTTATTCTGAATGGCAACAAATCCAAATATTTTCAAGACTTCATGTGAAAAAGAAATTCCAAATGTTTTTTGTTTCCGAAGAGTTTAATTTTTTTTAAAATTCATTTTGAAGCAATTTTCATTTTTTACATTAACTTTATTTTTTCATTTTTATATTACTTAGTCACATGATATATCAGTAGTAGCAAGATACACTGAGATGCCAAGACATGCCATGTTATGTACTGCTGACATGCCATATTATAGGTAGGGCTCTGTGTTATCTCTTTGTAACATTATGAAACAATTTAGCTCTTTGACAGTTTGAGCAGACACTTCTTATGCTAATTAGAGGAGCAGATGTTTGTCTATCCTGCTGTTGAAAAATGATTCTAGGCTAACATGAGGATGTCCAGCAATGTGCTACTACTATTGACCTGCAATAAAAAAAAAAGTAAAAATTATAGTAAAAATATACAAATTTATTAAAAAAAAGTTTTCAATTTTAATTATAAAAAATCATGGAATTAAATTTTCCAAATAGATTTTAAAGGCATTTAAGTGCTTGAAAATGCCCATGGGGACCAAGGGGTATTTTCAAAAAGGTCTAGGTGCTTCTGAAAAATCACACCAGGGACTTATGTCTTAAGGTGCCTAAATACCTTTACCGTCTGGCAGTCAGCCCCCAGCTCTCTCGTGGATCTTGGGCACAGCTAAGAAGCTGTTTCGAAAATCTTCTGACTCCTCAGTGAGCCCTTTTTGGAGAGCACAGAAGATGTAAGCTTTCAAAAATTCTAACTGCAATCGCTCTGTGCCTCAGTTTCCCCAGATGTAAAATGGGGATTATGATGGGATGTCTGTCCTGAAATGGGACTAGATGACAGCTGGCAGTGAGGCAACGTGGATATTGGGGCTTGGAGAGTCTCTGAGGAGAACTCCAGAGTGTGGGGGCACTGCAGCAGGGCAATATCCAGAGGGGAGGGTGGCACACAGGTCCTAATGTCAGAGGCTGAACCATTAACACATATGCAGGTAACAGTAGGTGAGACACCGGCTGGAAGGGGGGGCTCCCGCACTGAATGACCAGCAGGAGGCGTTGCCGCGGTGAGCCACACCGTGTTATGGGGATAGTACTTCCATCACATGACCTGACAGTGTGCTTCTGGATGGGTTACCCCAAGCAGGCCGAGGCCGTACGAGTTGAATAAACAGAAAGGCATCCAGAAAGTACAGAGGCATCTGTCTTCTTGCTGATGCTCTTTTAAAAACAACTTCCCTTTCTCCCAGAGGCAGAAAGCACATAAACATTCCGAACTTCCTCTGTTATAATTGAAATAGGGCTTGTTCCCATCTGCGAGCAAGCCCCATTATTTAGGGGATGTCTGAGATAAGCCAAGAAACACCTACTGACCTGAGCAAAGTCAGTTACTAAATCTGTTACCGTTCCCTGCCTTGTCGAGTGTTATGCAGGTGAGGTGACTAGATGCTATCGTCATGGAGCCATATCCTAGACCTGTGTAAAT